CTCGAAAGAGTAGAGCTGGAGGTCCCTTCGAGATAAAAAAAGGGCAATAACAACCAAGGCAATGACTGGATAATCATGAGAGGTTCCTAAAGCGTTAGGAAGCTATAATCAAGGCACCTAATCTCAACCAGCCAAGATCTTCTCCTAGAATTAGGGAGAACCCCACGACATAAGGCCAAGAATCTCAGCCAGGATCCCACTTAGTAGGGAATGACCCTATAAATGCACTGTAACACCTCCTAACAGGGGGGAACCTATTGTCACATCTTAAATTTTGTATACCTTTTGATATAATAAATAGAGAAGAAAAGGAGCAAGAACCTCCATTGAAGAGTGGACTAGTCGAGCTCCTGAGCTAGTGAACCACTATATTTTTACTGTGTACACCTCTTTAATCCCCTCAATATTTGATTGCATCATCATACACAAGCCTTGAAGCTCTGATCCACACTCATCTCACGTTACTTGCACCTTTTGCTCATCCACGTTAAAATACACCATCATATATCATGTTTAGTGATCGCATAATTTGTTAGTTTTCAAGTCTTTTGATTACATATAAATGTCTGTAGAAAGGCTAATTCCAGCTCAACCGAAAAAGTCAACAAACAATGTTAGCATTTTATATTCAAATAACATTGTTGATTTGGGTTTAGGTCCAACTAACGTTGTTGATTTGATTTTGGATTGAATTTAATGGTTGCCAACACTAGGAAGGTCATTTTTGGTTTTTCACAAGTAGCGGGGAAGTCATGATCTTTCGACTTGTTGACATATGGCAATGCATAAAGTAAGGCTTTTATGGGTTGGGCTTGCATAAGTAAGGCTGTTATGGGTTGGGTTATGACTAGCTCAACCCTTAAAACCTAAGTTCAGGGCTTGAACTTGGGGCCATGACCCATCTTTAGGTTAGATTATTCAGCCCAAGTCTCGTTCTAGAGTAGGAGCTTAGGGGGGCCGATACCTCCCTAAAATTTAAGGGGTCATAAAAGCCCTTTTACCCCTACCATAAATAGTCCACACCTAATTGAATGTGAGACTTTCAAGATTCCTTTTGATATTTGTGTATCATTTGAATTTTGAAATTTCATATATATATATATATATATACACACACACACACACACGTAATATAGTGACATCAAACAGTGACACGCTTAACAAAAAAATAGTAATATCAAACAGTGACATGCTCAACAAAAAATTAGTAACATCAAACAGTAATACACTCAACAAAAAAATAGTAACATCAAACAGTAACACATATTTTTGTTGAGCGTGTTACTGTTTGATGTTACTTTTTTTTTGTTGAACGTATCAATGTTTGATGTTACTATTTTTTTTGTTGAGCGTGTCACTCTTTGATGTCACTGTATTACGCGCACGCGTGTGTATATATGTTTATGTGTGTGTATACGTTCGTGTGCGTGCGTGTGTGTGTGTGTATATATATATATGAAATTTCAAAATTCAAATGATACACAAATATCAAAAGGAATCTTGAAAGTCTCACATTCAAGTAGATATGCACTATTTATGGTAGGGGTAATTATGGAATATATTTTAGAAAGAATTTGAAAATGTTTTAAAATGTGTACTTATTGACAACTATTTGATGAAAACAAGACTTAAAGGAGGATAAGTTTGGAGGTGGTACTTAAAGCCAAATAAGTTTTAGAAAAGAATTCACATCCCATTATCTCAAAGTTGAATAGAATAAAAGTATGGTTTTTAAAATTATTGGGATAAAAGTAAATTTACTACAAAAAAGTCATAAATGCTCTTTTACTCCTACCATAAATAGTGCATACCTAATTAAAAGTGAGATTTTCAAGATTAGAATGTGAAAATTTCAAGATTCCTTTTGATATTTGTGTGTCATTTGAATTTTAAAATTATATATATACACACACACACATACATGTTTATAAATATATATACACACACACACATGTGTATATAGATATGTATATATACACACACCCGTATATATATATAGTAACATATATATTTGTCCACTCAAAAAGTTATACTTAAAGAGGGACTCGAAAAATTGTCATGCGAACAGTGTCATCAAAGAAAGACACAAGATAATGACAATAGGAGTCCAATCAATGACATCATGTAATGCCCCCTTACTAATGCCAAAGTAGTGTCAGTAAAGAGTGACAACAATATATTAACCATAAATGATAACAATATATATTTGCTCACTCAAAAAGTTGCACCTAAAAAGGGACTCGAAATATTGTCATGCAAACAGTGTCACCAAAGAAAGACACAAGATAATGACAATGAGGGTCCAATAAAATGACATCATGTAATGCCCCCTTAATAGTGCTCAAGTAATGTCAGTAAAGAGTGAACTAAACTATTGTTTGACATTATTATTTTTTTGTTGAGCGTGTTACTGTTTGATGTTACTATTTTTTTTATTGAACGTATTACTATTTGATATTACAATATGTGTGTGTTTGTGCATGTGTGTGTGTATATGAAATTTTAAAATTCAAATGATATACCAATATCAAAAGAAATCTTGAAAGTCTCACATTCTAATATTTAGATATTGAAAATATAAAAGTTGTCAATTAGGTATCCACTATTTATGATAGGGGTAATTATGAAATACATTTTAAAAAGAATTTGAAAATGTTTTAAAATATGTACTTATTAACAACTATTTGGTGAAAAAAATGACTTAAATGAGGATAAGTTTTGAGGTGGTACTTAAAGTCAAAATTTTGGTTATTAGGTGCACATTACAGTTTTTATTTATTTTATATTACTTAATTACCACTACCTTAATTCATGCATAACTTATTGACAATTTTCTTTTTTTCAAATATATAAATATTAGATGCGAGATTTTTCAGATTTCTTGTGATTTCAGCAACTGTTTAAATTTTAAAAATCTATTCTCAATTCATCAATCATTATCTTCTCTAAGCATAATATTTTTTTCTTCCTTATTTCAGTTTTAGGGGCATCGATTCATCTTTCATTTCAAATATTTCTTCTTCCTTGTTTCTTCTTTCTTCAACCGTAATATTCATTCTCAATTCATCTATCATTATCTTCTTCAACCGTAAAATTCCTTCTTCCATAAGGTCAATGGGTGAACTTATGAGATGAATTCATTGTGGACAGTTAGGTATCCGCAACAAGAAAACTTGTAATGAGTTTGTGTAATTGAATTATTGCTTGAAATTAATGATATTTCTTTGCGCATTTCATTTATTCCTGTAATTCTTTCATTTTTTTTTTTTGACATTGTTGTCATTATATCACGTCACTCTATGTGAACATGTCATGTTTAATGTCAGGTTATCTAAAAGGTTTTTTACACTTTGCATACCGAAAGATGTTAACATTCTCACTTTATATCCTAAAAGATCATTTTTTTCTTTATTGCACTCTCATTGTTCTAAATTTGTTGCAATGTGACCCCTTGTACCAACGTTCGTCTCTATTTTCGTTAAAAGTATTACACATGCCATGCACATGGTTTGCCCATGGCCAAAAGTGTAAAAACAAGCCCCCGTCTCACTTGCCCTACCTATATTTATCTGCACACACTAATTTGGCACCAAAGTAAAAAAAGAGAGGGAAAAATAGAGTGCTCTGGGGAAGAAAATCACAGCTGGGGAAGAAGAGTGATGGATAGCTTCTGCTACTGTGGTAGAAGGTTGCAACAAAGAAGCTATGGAAAGTTTTTAACCTCGGGAGAAGATTTATGGTGTGAGACAATCATGAGTATGCATATGTTTCAGATTTTTTGGAGTAATTTGATGGACTAGGCATCTTCACCAAATTTTCAAAAGCAAACAATTATATATATGTCTATCTGTGTGTGTGTGTGTGTTTTTTTTTTTTTTTTTTTGTAGGTGGTAGGTGTTGTTTTTTCTTATGGGTGGACCCCCCCATCTGTAACCGATCACGACAGATAATACCCTAGTTTTTGCGTTGTGTATCAAGACTGGAGACAAAATTGGAGACAAACAAATCAAGGTTGAGGATGCTTTGGGCCTGCTTGTTTGGTTCTTGGCTGCTAATTATCGGCATATGTTGCTATAGTATTCAAAATGTGGAACATGGTTCAATTGAGCAAAATTTGACGAATGGTGTCATGATTTTTGAGCTAATGTAGCTGCAAATTTTTTTTGGAGTAATCTAATAGTTGGTGTATCTGGGCCATATTTTTGAGGTAATGCAGCTGATGGTTGATGTAGGTGACTTTTTTTTTCCTTTTTTTTTTTCTTAAGCTAATGTAGCTGAATCTAAGCACTTGATATATTGGGCTAATGAACCTTATGTATTAGTGTTATTTGATGCATTAGCATCAGGCTTTGATTAGTTTACTTGTTTAGATTCAATATTGTAAATTATCAAAGCAGATTTACCAATGAATTACGAAATGTTATAGTTCTTACACATGATTTCTTAATTTATTCAGAAGTTATTCCTGAGATCATGCACCTTTCTTTCCTAATTATAATGGAAAAAGTACAGCTGGTTGGATCCAGCCTATTCTTGAAATAAACAACCTGCACACACTCCCTTTCCAAAAAAGATCAATACGCCAAGCACTACACTTAGATTTATTGGATTTGTTGATAAAATATCGGTATTAAACCATAAACTCCCGGTGGATGGCCAGTGGCCCATAGAATTGAAAGAATCAACCCACCACATTACTCTAATGCCACAATAAGGGAACATTTGACTAAAATCCCATTATTTTAACAATAGCAACATCCCAATTATGAAAGCAACATAAATCCCAAAAAGGTTACAAAGCAGACCAAAGTAATTATGAACTAGGTGTGACCAACACAAAATTGACTAATTCAAAAGTCCCAAGAAAAAAAAGTGTCTAATTCGACTGAGTTGCAAATGTAGGAGCATCTTGAGTTTGTTGGATGGACGTATTTTGACTTGTAGATGGAGTACCATGTTGATGTGGTATTGAATCCTGAATTGATGTAGTTTTATTCCTTTTAATCTGGTTCCATTAAAAACAAGTATAAGCGAAATAGTCTCATGGGGCCAAAATGAACAAATGTAAGAATTAGTAAATGACTTACAAGTAGCTTTGGTCTATATTGTGATTTAGTAGCAGTGGCTTGAGATTGGGGAGGACACTGACTTGCTTCAATAATTTGAGCAGTGGCAGACTTTGAATTCCCTTTTACCTATTACAAGACAAATATGTAAAGTATTAAACACAAAAAAAGTCAAGCCAAAGTGATAAAATTCTAACATTGTGATGTCATGTCTTGGCATGTTTATCAGTAAAAGGCATTTTACACTTTCTTGAGTTGTGACCATTGTGACCACAATTTCCACATTTGATGGTCTTGTACTTCCTCTTTAATTTTGTACCTGCAGGAGGCTGATCGAGTTCTCTCCTTCTACACTACTTAGGCATTCCAGGTCTTCTACTCAATTTTGTAGGAAGGAGAGGGAAGTTGTTTTAGGCCATATATCCTTTCCATTGATAGTGTTCATTAGGTTGTTATAGCACTTGCTGAAGGTTTCTACTTTACACTATTCAGCCATGTAGTCCTCTACTGCATGACCCAAGTAATTGAGAGTAGAAACTACATGAGGACATGGAATTCCAGTTAAAACCCATTTTCTACAGCTACAAGTTCTTTCCTTAACATTCACAATCCTCTGATCACCATACATCCGTACCACCTCAAACATGTCACCCTCATTCCAAGTGGTATGAAGGCTGTTGATTCCACCTTAATTGTCTTTAGTCTTTTTTGTATGTTGGGACAAATATTACCCTTGTAACTCTGGATTGAATCCTTCTGACGATGTAACCTCTTCATCAACCAAACTCTAATTTTTCTCTAACATAGTTAAGATGGGCTTATTACAAGCATCAACAATGGTTCCATTAAAACTCTCACACAAATTATTCAATAGCATGTCACACTTGGGGAATGTACTAAAATGGGATTTAGACCAATGTACAGAAGGTCGATCTAGTAACCATAAGTATGCAGATTCATCAACCATATGCAATCCATCCATCACATTTTCAAAGTCTACTACCCTGCCAGCTTTAGTAGCCCTCCACAATAGATCTTTCAGAGCCAATCCCTTATAATGTGCATTAAAGTTATTGTATAAATGCCTAACACAATGCCTGTATTAAGCATTTGGAAATAGGGTTTCAACAGCATCTAGCAGGCCCAGTCATATAAAAATAGTAGCACTCTTATTGAAAAAAAAGTAACACTTCATATAAAAAAGAAAGTAATAATGTTATAGAAAAAATACCACTTACCTTCTGCTTATCTAACATAAAAGTCCAACAGTGGGTGTTCATTGCACATAGATCCTCTTTCATCAATTAGATGAACCATGTCCAAAACTTTTTATTATCCTTTTCCACTACAGCATAAGCAAATGGATACATCTGATTGTTTGGTTCAATGCCTATTGTTGCTAGCAATATACCAAATTGATAGCCCCTAAGATGACAACCATCCAATCCAATGAGTGGTCTACACCCCTCTAATAATCCCCTCTTCAATGCCCCCAATGCATATATACAACCTCTTGAATCTAAACTTATCACCTCCTAAAGCCTTGGTTTTAATGATGCATGTTGTGGCAGGGTTTGTCCTCCTCAACTCTTCACAATATTCCCACAGAAGAGCAAACTGCTCTGTATCAGTGCCATTAACCAAATTCATTGTCTTCTGTTTACCTCTATATACTTGGCTCTTATTGATATTCATCACTTGTTCTTTTTGAACAATTTCTTGGGTTTATTCTCATCCTTTCCACATAAGTGCTTGCTAGCCACTTTGCATCGGAATGCATGACTTTGAATGATATGTTACAATGATGTGAATTATTGTACGTCTTCACCTGCATGGTCAATTCACCTACCATCCTTGAAGCATAAATCATCTAGTCACAGCCTAGCCTACTCATTGCCCTGACTTAAACCTTTCATTTTTAGTGAATTTGATATGCCTCCCCCACTTGATAGCATGTTGCCTAACTGCAGGTCTAAACTCATTTGTGGTTTTGAACAACATTTCTAATTGAAACTGTGGGTCAACCATATCAGTCTTAGCATTAAACTATGGATAATTAATCTTAGATGATGATCCACTTAGACTATTTAACTCATCAGATTCGCAGTCTTCACCATATAGCCCACATTGATTACCTCCCTCTATGCCACAGTCAATTTTTTTTCTCTTTGAATTTGTCACCTCCTGCCCTAGTGTCTACAACCACCTTTTTACCTTTACCACCATTAGTTTTGTGACTACCAACCTCTTTTTCATTACAATGCTCACTGTAAACCTCTATGCTGTTACAGATTACATTTTCATACAATAAATGATCATCCATTTCATACTCATTGTCATAAAAAGATTCACATTCAAATGATTGTCCTTGGGCATTGTCATAATCACTATCAATTTCAGATTCTTCAACATTGTCATTTAAAACCCTAGCTGCATCTGCATCTTCACATTGTGAGTCCACATGATTTAACTTGAACCCAACTTTACCTTTGTGCTCCATATATACATCAATCAATGATTTCTTATTCACCCAATTTGATAATTGCATTGTGTCATTGTCATTTTAGAATAATGAAGACGGAAGTTGGTATAAAGGGCCACATTGCAACGAATTTAGAACAATAAGGGTGTAATCTGGGCAAAATGATCTTTTAGGGTGCAAAGTGGGAATGTTAGCATCTTCCTGGGTGTAAAGTGTGAAGAGCCCTTATATAAATCTAGTCAATCCATGGTGTCATTATTTTCCTAGTGATGCCTTTCCATGTGTTTTTAATAGAGGTTAAGGTTAAGGTAAATGTGTGGAAGGTTTGAATCAATTTCTGAATACATTTATATTGTTGCTTCTGCTTGACTACAAAGATTCACATAAGAAACAACATAAACCAAAAAAAAGGGTGACATTAAAGAGAGGCTACAAAATTGAAATCATAAATACACAAACTAATAGAGTGACGACAAAGTATGACACTGTAGAGAATTTTAATGTAAATGATGAAAATTTGTTATTCCAAAATCACAATTTCAAATACATTTGATTATAAACCAAAAAGAGTGACATTGAAGAGCGACATCAAAGGGATGCTATAATTATTGAAATCAGAAACAAACTAGTAAGAGGAAAAAATGAGAGTACCTCCTACAGGAATCGATACAATGATATTTCTGGTAAAAGCGTGCTTCTAAACTTGATCTCTCAGTTTTCCCTTTCCTATAAAAGGAACAAACTGCTTGAGATCGAAGACACTTTGATGCTTAAGTTAGTAGTGGAACTAAGTAAATTTCAAGAAGACAAGGAGAGTTCAACGTACCTTTCACCTTGGCTCCTTATGCCTTTTATAGATCCCTGTTTAATTAGGGTTTTTATGATTTTCAATTCAAGGTGGTACACCTTCCTTCAATTAGGCAACTCTGTTTGGGAAGTTGCTAAGATTTCTCTAGCAATTCCTCCCGTCGAGTATATAATTATGCCCATTTGTTTAACCAGAATGCTTGAGTTATAGGCATCTCTTCAGCTCTTCGTTTATTATTTAAAACAGTTCGGTCATGATGAGGACTAACCTCTTCTCTTTATTCCCAAGCTCTTTGAATAGCTCAGCTTTGATCTGATGACTAAGTCTAATGATTTCTTTGTCACGTGACTGGTCTTGTTACCCTTATGTGGGATAATTTAATGTAATTGTACATGTCATAAAGGGAGTCACCCTCTTCATTTTCCCCCAGAATGCATTTGATAGACGCTTTCGTCTGTCAGTCGTTTTATGCCCCCAAACCCATCATTGCGCATACTTTTGGGACATTGTTTTGGTGGCATGTCTAGCATTTAAATATTGTCTTTTAGAATTCCCTCCTTTTATAAGTGACTTCTTTCATTCCTTTCTTCACTTTATCTTCTCTAGCTTTAGACTTCTTGACCTCTTTCCTTCTTTACTTCTTTTTGCTCCTTCGTTGTCTACTTCTATGGCTCCTCTTACTCCCTCTAAGATTCTTGCCTTCAAGGCCAAATACAACATTCTAGATGACATCGACATACGAGTCACTAGTAATGATGGGCCTTTGATAGGCACCAGGTATAGCATCCCCATCCATACTCGAGCGATAACAGAGGGTGGAGTTTGTTTTCCCCTTGACCCCCTCCTCCTCTGGGTTCTCTCTGCAATAAAACTTTTCCCAATATAGTGCTGCCCTAATTTTTTCAGAATTGTCATGGGGGTTGCTGCTCTCAATATGTTGCTAAACCTAAGTTTGGGCCTTTGGGAGATCCTTTACTTTTACATTGTCAAGTTAGCCGGTGATAACTACTACCAGGTTGTTAGGAAAAAGGACTACTACTTGGTGACTCACCTCCCGGACTCGAACAAGGGCTATAAGAATGACGTGGTTTTTGTTTATAGGAACTGGGAGTACTCTTTTGGGGCCACTCCTTCTTATCATTGCCCCTATGAGGAAGGAGCACTAGGTGATTGTGGTTTTTACTTCACTTCTTGCTTCTCATTTTTTAGCGTTTTTGCTCAGACTGTTTTATTTTTTGAAGGTGAAATTGTGAAGGGAAGGGTCCCTAATCGGGCTGTCAAGATGGAGGAACTGAAGAGAGTGTGGCGCTATAATGACTCACTTTTTTTTGTGCTTCTCATACATTGCTCGGCTATACTCCAACCTATATGTCCTTTATTGTTGTTCCTCCCCGACCAAATTCTGCACTCGCCAAAGACCGCCAAGCCATCTAGTTTGCTCAGGACCAAACTCCTTGTGCCTACAAGCAATCCTTACCTACCCCTAGTGGAAGAAACACGGCGGTCAGGAACTTTCTTGACTTTTTAACAACTGTTGAACCTACCCAACAAGATGAACCAACTTCGCCAACTGTTCCTTCCGCCTCTTCTATCCCTGTGCATAAAGAGGAGCTTGCTCCTGAAGAACTTGCTGAAGTTTCACTTCCCGAACCGAACAATGTGGTTCTTCAAGAAGATGAACCAGTTGATTTGGTTTGGGCCATTGAGTCTGCAATTCGTTCTGAGTTTGATCCTCCAATTACTGTTCATTCTCCTGACAATCAGGCTGATTCAGTTTTTGAACTTTCTTAAGACCCTGCCCCAAACAAGATGTAAAATTATAGAGTCTGAAGCAATTCCTTCTCCTAAGTCTGCTAACCCTCCCTTTTAACCTGTCCTTAAAACAAAAAGAAGAGAGATTACGGTGAAGGATTCTGTTATTGAAGACTTTAATGTTGCTGTGGGGATTGCTAGGGGGTAATTTTGCCTCAGGACTTAGCTACAAATAAAGCTCTGTCTGATGATGAGGTTGCTCGCAAAGCAATCCAGCACATGGTTCTGGTATTTGAGCTTGTTTCTATTCTTTTCCTCCTTTTTCTTTCTAAAGTTGTAGCAATTTGTCTAAGCCAATATAGGCCCAAATAAATCCAATAGAAGGTGAATGGGAAGGCACAGATCTAACTCCAAAGCTGCTTCAAAGAAGCACGTCTCCTTAGGAGGAAGGTAATTACAGGGTTCATTAGAGCTTGGAGCACGTAGAGGTAACTCCAAATTAAGAAAGAATTTCTTCCTTATTCTCTCTAAATCAGAGGACGTCACCACTGAGGGAATAAAGTAGCGAGTATGCCACATCCACTCAACCTTAAAGGAGGTTTGCTCTTGAAACAGAGCAGAAAAGAGGGCAGACATAGTGGCTTTAAGCGAAAAAGAGAAGAGAAGGAAATAGAAGGCGTTAAGCCCTCAAGAATAACAAAGAGATACCCGAAGGAAAGTGATAGCCAGTACTTATAGAAATCATTTGAAGACCCCAAATTTTTAGGAAGTTGTTAATTACACGAAACTCTAAGTCGGTGGGTCTCTAGGTTTCCAAATTAAGGAAGCATAAACTTTTTTGGTAAGAGGGCAATGCATCAAAGGTGGACATCAACAACACCCCGGGACAAAACAAGCAGACCTCCAAAGAGAGGTCCAGAACATCAAAGAAAGGTCAAAACAGACCCTTGCAATTCAAGAGTTCAGCAAGTCTGAGGTGAGGAAATTAATGCACACAAGCAGCTGCATCTAGGCATGCTCTTCTTGGTTGTCACCTTGCCAATGGTACATGACAACCCCGAAGCTTGGAACATCGGCACAAGAGGACAGAGCATGATAGTATGCTCTCCACCTCGCTTAATCAGAACGGTTGAACTCGCAAAACAGGAAAGATAACTTGACCAATGGCTACACGTGCACATGTCTCCTAAGGCTTGCCAAAGGGACCCCTCAAACCGGGTCGATGGTTATTTAGCCTTGGCAACAAGTCAGCACCTAGCTAGTCTGCTGCACATGGAAAGGATGAATCCTCACCTTGAGCTGCGTAGAGCTTGGTGGTTGTTCAACCATAGCATAAGTCAGTACTTTGCCAATCTGCTGCGCATTGAAAGGATGAACCCTCACCCTAGGACAAGAGGGAAAGGTCCGCTATGCAGGTCAGCATATGAGAGCCCCCTTAAGGGTAAGAATTCAGGTACTCATTGTCTTATTTTTCAAACAGCAAAATGTTAGACCCTTGCTATGTACACTAGACTGACCATGCAAACTTCTACTCCAAAAGGTTTGAATGACCTATTTGAAGCAAAGAGGGGAAAGAGAGAAAATTGAGAAGGTTACACTTGATAAGAGTTGAGAAGATTGCATTCTAATCTAAGAGGAATTACGCAGTCGAAGTTACATAGTTGCATTCTGATCTAAAATTATTACAACCATGAGTTGATAAGTTAAAATTTTTTTTTTCTTTATATCCTAACTTTGAGGATAAAGTAAGGCCAGAGCTCTGGAGTTCAGTTGCTGGAGTTCGAGTAGAAGCAGGTTAAGAAGCTGGAAGCTCAGCTAGTTCAAGCTCAGAATGACCCCTTGAACTAGGGGGGGGGGGAAGAATTGATGAATATCATATTTGATAGGTGGTAGAATAAAGCAACAAGTTAGAAACAAATGGAAAGGAGAGCTATAATTTGTAAATTAAACACAAAATGTTACAATTCTGAGATAATTAGCCCAAAGCTACAAATAAAAATTTCTCTACATCCCAACGTCTTAAGTTTCCGGAGGAAGAATAGGCAAAGGGCCTAGCAGTGCAGTAGCTGAAGTCGCAGCAGAAAGAACTGAAAAAGGGCTCCCTAGCTCAGCAGACCACCTTACTGGCAATGAAGCAGTTGAAATCTCAGGAGGGCCAAGGGCAGGCAAGGAGGCAGGAACCTCAGCTTCAGACGAAGCTCCAACGGCTAGCTTAGCAGGGATGGAAGAAGCTGTAGAAAGCTCGGTAGCCATGGGAGTAGAGGTGTCTAAGGAGGCAGAAGCATCTTGAGCTGAAGTCCCAACTAGAGGGATGAGCCCTTCAGAGTCTTTGGGCACATCTTCAGAAACAGGAGGAGCAGGAGCATCATCCTCTTCTTCATCAGACCCTTCAGACTCTTCCTTAGGGAAAATTAAAAAGTCAAAGTTCAGTTCAGGGTAAGTCGTTTCAGCTATACCATGGAAAGCAATCCACCCTTTTGCCCACCTGGTGAGAACATCATCCTCTAGTTGGGCAATCAGCTCATCCTTTTTTCGGATGGTAGTGTCTCGTACTTCCAGTGCCTTCTTGATAACCACTAACTCCTCTCTGAGAGCATCATTGGCCTCAGCTAGCACCTTGTACTCCCTCTTCATGTTCCTGAAGGAAGCCAGAGCATCAAGGGACTTCCGACTCTCCTTGATCCAGTCATCAGTTTTTGACCGAAGGTCTTCCTTAGTTTTGCTGAGCTCCTCTTGTCTGAATTTGGCAAGGGAAGACTGCTGCTCCACTTGTTCTTGTAATTCCTTTACCTGGACCTTAAGGTCATTATTCTCGAAAGCCAAATTGACACACTTCATCTCCAAAGCTTTGGAAGCATTGGTTGATCCCTTCAGGGCTTGGATTTGCTTTAACAAGCTGCTTATTTGAATGGCAGTCCGAAGAGAAGTATGAAAGATTAGTGCAAAGGGAAGAACGCAGGACATCAAAAAAAAAAATGAGAATTTGACAAATTAGAATCTTACCGAGGTACATCCATATAGTGTAGTGGAAACACAGGTTCCCAGGGGTACAGAAATGGCTGCATCAATGTCAGACTCTGGGATAATGGAGGCAATGGCCTCTGCAGCCCACTTCACATCGGTAATAAGAGAATTATCAGACTTCGAGAAGACTCCTTTGCCTGTCATGAGAGGTTGGGAGGTCTCCTTGGTTGATGCAGAAGCAGCACGACCAGGAAAAGTGGGAGCAGTATCCAAGACCCTATCAACTTCAGATGTAGAAGAGCAGGTCTGGTCGTTCCTAGGAGCATCTTCAGTGGCAGGTCGGGTCCCTTGTGGGAAAAGAAGTCCTAAGGTCGGTGAGGCATGTAGTGCGGATGGTGGGGCGTTTTGGATAGAGGCAAAGGTAGAGGAAGTACCCATTTTCTGAACCTTAGCTCGAGTGACTAGGCTCCCACCAGAACTGCCCATAGCCTTGCGTTTGGTACCACCCTTATTTTTCTTCTTCAGTAGCTCTACCTTAGCTTGGAGCATCTCAGGGGCAGGCTTCATTGTAGAAGACCCTAGGAGATTTGACTTAAGTTAAATAGTCAAAAGAAAAAAAAAAGGGAGGAAAACAATGAAACCAAATAAGGGAAAGAACATTACCTTCTACGTCCTGAGGTCGAATAAAGGAAAGTGGGGTTGGAGTTTCTATCACTGTCTCAGGAGGACCGAATCCTTACTTTCCTAATTCTCAAGGCTTAATGAACTCAAAGTACCTCTCTAGATTACACTTAGCCAACTTCAGCTTCCCCTGCTCCTCCTCGACGCTGAGTTTAGGTCAAATGCCTAAGAAAAAAAAAAAAAAAAAAAAGGCAACACCAAAGATGCAGAGGTCAGGAAAGCAACTCATAAATCTTCATACTATAGTTCAGTCAGGCAAGAACTCACCTAAGTTTTTTGGGGCTGTCCAGGCTTTGGGAATCCTAAGGGTGTCTGTTTTATCAGCAAGGTTGTATTCCCAGTTGACACCCCCAACGAAAAAGGCATTCTTTTTCCAGCCTTTATGAGAACTCGGAAGGTGTGTGATGATTTTCCTAGACAAAGTCTGCTTAGAAATGTATAGAAAGCCCTCAGTTGAGGTAAGCATGACAGTGAAGAGGTCCATAAGTAGAGAAATGGTGGGACGCCCATGCTTCTTAAAGAAAACTAAAAAACCCACTAAAACACCCAAGAAGTTGGGAGAAAGCTAAGCAGGGCAGACATTGAGGTGCTGCAGAACATTTTTGATGAAGGGGTGCATAGGGAAACGAAGGCCGTTCTCGAAAGTGGCCACAAAAAACAAACTCTTTTGTGCACTTGGGCAACGTATGAGGTGAGTTTATCTGGACACCAGGGCTAAACACCAGGAAAAAAGCCAAAACGAGCACTAAAAGCTTCCATGAGAATAGAATCCACCCTACTGGGACCTACGAACTCAGCATGCCTGAAGGCAGCCCCCATACCCGCTGCACTATCAGGAATCCCAACCTCACTTACTTTGTCCTTACCCTTGTCGGCACTAGGAGGTACATAAGAGGAAGATGAGGGGAGTTCCTTGGAGTCCACCTCGGTATCGACAGCCTCAACACCAGGAAAGTTGTCAATTTCATCACCTACATCCCCTAAATCAGAATCTCTTTCGGCAGACCTGTCGCCTAGGAGGGAAACAGAGGAGGGAGTTATTCCAGAGGAGGCAGACATGATTGGCAAGGAGAAAGGCAAGTCAAAAGAATGATAAAAAGGAGGAATACTAACTAAACACCCCCTGATAACCCTAGGGTCAACACTGTACCTCCTAACAGTAAGAATTCGCACAGTGGAGTTCCAATCCACAAATCGGGGAAGAGGAGATAGACAACGATCACGATTCCAAAAGAAAAAGAATCGAAATGCCTAGAAAAATAATGGCCACCTCGAAATCGAGGGATCCAGAGTGAGGAAAGGCAAGAGAAAGAGAAAGGGGCAAAAGGAAGGATACATAGACAGGGAAGAGAGCAACGAACAGCAGCCAAAGAACAAAATTAGAGGAGAGAAACAAAGCAGGACTTCGAATCGAACCTAGAAAGCACAGTCTTGAGCAGAGAATAAGGGAATTGCGTGGAGGAAAGCGCAGAAATCACAGAGAGAAAGAGTTGGAGACGAAGGTGAACAGTGTGGATGATGAACGGTGGTATGGTATGGTTTCTTTTAGCCGTTTAAGCATTTATGGCATGAAAGATATGAGATGAGGCGTGCGCGGGAACCAATGGAGCCATGATTGCTGCAAACTATCAAAAAACCCCTCCCACGTGCATCTCACATGCAGACTAAGGTCAGCTAGCGCAGGTCTGGTCCAAGGTAAAAGCAGCTCAGCCCATGCCCAAGCTCGCTTGGGCCAAGGGCTGGGGGGCAACTGATGATACCTCAAAATAAATCCCAAGTGCTAGCTTAGGAGGTCAGCTTAGCCCAGGAGGTCAAACTAGACAAACAGAACTCGGAAGAGTAGAGCTGGAGGTCCCTTCGAGATAAGTAAGGGCAATAACAATTAAGACAACAACTGGATAATCACGAGAGGTTCCTAAAGTATTAGGAAACCATAATCAAGACACCTAATCTCAACCACCTAAGATCTTTTCCTAAAATTAGGGAGAATCCCACGAAGTAAAGGTAAGAATTTCGGTTAGGATCCCACTTAGCAGGGAATGACCCTATAAATGCACTGTAACACCTCCTAATAAGGGGGGAACCTATTGACACATCTTACATTCTGTATACCTTTTGATATAGTAAATAAAGAAGAAAAGGAACAAGAACCTCATTAAAGAGTGGACTAGCTGAGCTCCTGAGCCGGTAAACCACTATATTTTTACTGTGTATATCTCTTTAATCCCCTCAATATTTAATTGCATCATCATACACGAGCCTTGAAACTCTGATCTACACTCATCTCACGTTACTTGCACCTTTTGCTCATTCACATTGAAATACATCATCAATATACAAAAGCTTTGGCTTAATAGACACGATCAGTAAAACAAGAAATTCGGTGGAGTTCTTTTTACTTTCTTTCCCGTATTTGAGCTCAATCAATCACTATTATACTTTCGTTTAATTTTGTTCAATAATACATCACTTAGCATAAATTAAAAAATAATCTACTATTTATAAGTGAGTTTACCGTATATAGACATGATCTATTATTGAATAAACCGAGTAATACATATCCGTTGACTAATACAGATCCTCCCACCATCTTAAAACTGGATTGATGGGTTTATATCAATGATCTGAACTACAAAACAAACAATGAATAGGAATCACAGGCACAATGGCTTGATGAACCCAGAATCAGAAATCAACAAGGGAACTTCTCAGTGAACCATTTAAGTATTTTGAAAGGAAGCTTCACAAGATCCACCGCCACATTTGCAAGTCCCGCACAACAGCAGCAACATGGGCACACGCAACTCACCGCAGACCTGCCCATAAAAGGGAATTTTCAAATCTTAGAGAGAGAGAGAGAGAGAGAGAGAGAGAGAGAGAGAGAGAGAGATGTTGTATAAGCCTATAATGTGTTTGCGTTTATTGCAAACTGAATGGAAAAATCAATCTTAAAACTGCAATAAACTGTTATTTTTCTCTTTGTGTCTTCAGACACTATGGAAAACAAAGAACAGAGCATATTCTTATATAATAATGACAAGTAAAATCAGGATTGAACTACAATGCACTCCATAGATGAATCAAAGAAGGACTATACAATTTTCTAAAGCAAATTGAGATGGGCAGAAAAAGCAATTGAAATTGACATAATGAAAAGGCGATGTAGAAAGTAACATACCCAACGACCCAGATAACAGCACCCACTAGGGAGATAACCAGTGAAATAAGAGCAAAAGGCAATCCCAGCAAGAACCCCAATGGCCTGCAATCTTCCATTCTTCCAATTGCTCCTGGAACTCAAACAAGAAAGAAACCAAAGGCGACCTTTCTCTCACCCCCTTTCTCTGTGGAAATTTTATTTCAAGTTCTGTCATTCAAACTGAAGTCGTTGCCAATTTGTTTAACCACTCTAACGCTGTTTTGTTTACTTGACAAAAGTACCCTTGAAAATCATAGAATTTCTCTGGGTAATAGAGGGAGTAGTTCGTGCCATAAGCAAAACATGGGCTTTCAAATAGCTGTTAAGGTTCAGCCAATCCTCTTTGACTGGATGACCGATTGGGCTCACCGCTCGTAGTTTTACTGGTCAAATTTTTTCCAACCTTGCCCTCCTTAGGGTTTTGCCCGAGATACGCGTCTTTCAATACTTGCTTTGTTACTAAATTTGGGACAATTTTTTTTAAAAGATTGCAGTCTGGCCATTGTTATCATACTAAAAATTATAATTTCTTGAGGTGTAAAATATAATTTACAAAAGAATATTGTCAATCTTAAAACATTGTTGAGCAATGCTATTGAGATCTAATTTATTGTTAACCTAATTCACTATAACACATTTATATTTACTATAAATCCTGTCAAACATTAGAACTTAATGTTGATTCAATGATTGTTATAAAATCACATCATTATGTCAGCAAATTAGATTAAATTTTTAAATTCAAATAATATTATTTAGCATTGTTATAGGTCATGAAAATTATAATTTTTAAATGTTAAATTACAACCGTGTAAGAGAATCTCATAATCGATCATAAACTTTTGTTTGTAAATTTACCTTTCTAAGGTGTACCCTTAGCATTAAAAGTAATAAATTTTATCACCGTTCTGATTTTATTTTATTTTCCAGTACAATTCACTTTCTCCAATTTGTTTGTTTGAAGATTGTGGGTGATTTGGGTACTTTGAAATTTTAATTCTGTAAGACAGTGAAGGTTCGCTGGTGTTTCTTTCCTTTGACGAAGGTAAATTAATGCATCTAAGCGCGTTCTTCTTTCACTATTTGCAAATATTCCACATCTTCTTTTTTCAAATTGTAATTTGGAGTGGTGCTTCTTGTGACCTGTGGGCATATAGAAAGCGACTTGATATCACACCCAATACTTAACTTGCCGTTTTATTATTAATAATTTGGATTCACACGTGAATTTTTTGATAAATGATACATTTAACAAAATGTTTTCGAATTATTGTTTATCAAATAAATGTGAATAGTTGAAATAGTGAGACCAATCATATAGATGAAAAAATATTCATTGGTTGCTACCTATTCGGACTCTTCTTAACCACTTTTTTAGGGATTTTTTCATTTGGCCGTTTCGTACAATTGTTGATTAATTGCAAAATCTTTTTTTTGTTGGGGTTATTCCAAAAAAACCTACTTTTTAAGGCTTGAAAAGTTTTAACTAATTTTGATTATTGTTCATATTCGAGCATTTTCCCTCCGAAATTTTTGATTTTGCCACAAAGAAATCATTTCAGCACAAATAGGTCTCACAACCTAGAAGACCAAGTCCACAATAGTGGATTTTAATTCTCTGGTGAGGTGAGGGGAAACATTCAAGGCATATCGAAGGGAGCAGATGGCTGCCTTTTACTCATTCATTCTTTGCGGATGATAGTCTTTTGTTCGCTAGAACCACGAAAGAGAATGGGGAGTCTATTATGCAATGTTTGCATACGTATGAAATAGCTTCTGGGTAGATGATCAACTTTGAGAAATCATCTGTTGTTTTTAGTAAAAATATCCAACTAGCTAGTTTGGACGATTTGAGGAGGCTACTACAACTTTGTGTTGTGGATAGCCATGACAAATATTTGGGGCTTCCTTCGGTGGTATGGAAAACAAATCGTGCTATATTTGACTCTATCCGAGAGAGAGTGTGGAATAATGTACAAGGTTGACAAGACAAATTACTTTCAAGGGTAGGTAAGGAAATTCTCATTAAATCCGTGGCACAGGTCATTCCTACATATGCGATATCGTGCTTCAAACTTCTGGCAGAATTATGTACTACTAAATAGTCTAATGGCAAAGTTCTGGTGGGGAGGAAATGGAAATAGCTCAAAGATTCATTGCGTAGCTTGGGATCGACTATGTAGACCTAAGTCATGAGAAGGTCTTGGATTTCGAAATCTTCAAGCCTTCAACTATGCACTGCTTGCTAAATAGGTTTGGAGTTTATTTCAGAATCCATCTTCATTATTGGGTCAGTTAAAGGTGAAAATATTATCCATCCACATCGATCTTGGAAGGATTCACAGCACTGGAATTTTAAAAAATTTTGAGGACTAAGTGTAATTTTAAAAAATTTAGAATTTATTAGATATTTGCCCCCACTGATTTTTTTTTTAATCGTAGTTATGTTATTTTGACAAATATATGAGTCTCATTTGTAAATATCAATGGAAGATGATATCAAAAATTTGGACATTTAAAGATTAACTAATATGTTACGAAATAGGTTAGCCCTCTCATTTGTTTTATGTTTATACATCGAACTAAATTTAGGACTTGTAATTCTCTTCTTTGTTTTATGTTTATATGTTAGAATTGAAAATTAGGGTTTGTAGCCCTCTTTTGTGGTTTATTTTTTAAATGTTGAATTGAAATTAGCGCTTGTAGCTCTCTGTTGTATTTTATTTGTTACATGTTGAATTGAAAATATAAAATTGGGGCTTGCAATCATCTCTTATGTTTTATTTTTTATGTATAGAATTGAAACTAGACTTTGTAGTCTTGTATTTATTTTTCTATGTTGAAATAAAATTGGGGCTTGTAGTCCTCTTCTATGATTTATTTTTTTTATATATTTAATTGATATTTGAGTTTGTAGTTCTCTCTAGTATTTTATTTTTATATGTTGAATTGGAATTATGACTTGTAGTCGTCTCATTTGTTTTATTTTTATTTGTAGAATTGGAATTAGAACTTGTAGTCCTCCATTATAATTAGACTAAATTATTTTGATTTGGTAGTTTGAACAGTTTTATTGTGATAAGTTAAGTACTTCATATACCTAGGTTTAGTTTACTAGAATAATTATAGTTTAAGTTAGTTTCGATTGTTTATTAAAATTTAATGATGAATATTAAGTTTGTGATTGAACAAATTAATTTTTGAATTAGTTATGAAAAATTTTCTTAAAATTTAATACATGATTGAGCCCAATTTTGCGGTTCAAATTTTTTTTGTTAGGTCTTATAAATAAATCTATACTGAGTTTTTTTTGTTGGCTCATTTTATATATCGCTCATGTATATGAATTGCGTCTTTAATTGGTGTTCTATTAATAAAACTATATTTTTGTGAATATTTTAAATTTTAATATTAATATAGTTTAAGTTGCCCCCACTGGAAAATATGTCTGGCTCCGCCCCTGGAAGCACAGATAGGTTCTTCACCATCATTCACGTGGTGTAGCACCCTTTCATCGAGGAAATTCGTTATCGAAGGTCTATGATGGAGGATTGGGAGTGGTAGGTCAGTTTATATCAAGAGAGATAGATGGATATAGAGATCGAATACCTTCAAGATAATCAGCCCTTTTTCAGATTTAGACGATGATGCACTAGGCAGCTCTTTGATAAATCAAGAATTTGGAACTTGGAGGCTAGATCGTTTATATGAAGTGTTTCTGGCCTTCAAAGGGGAGGAAATCTCTTCTATGCCAATTTGCTGCATCATGCAAAATGACCGACAGGTTTGGCATTACGCAAAGTCAGGGAAGTTTATGGTCAAAAATGCCTATCATTTGATTATGGAGAGGAGATATGAGAAAGGGTTCCAGTAGCAATAGCATACAGTGGAGTGGATCATTTGTTTGGAATTTAAATATTCCTAACAAAATTAAATTGTTTGCATGGAGGATGATGAAGGATATTCTACAAACACAGTGCAACCTATCCAGAATAAGGGTTCTTGTGGATAATGTTGAATCAGCAACCCATATTTTTCTTCAGTGCCCCTTTACAAAGCAAGTGTGGATAGATTCCTTAATCCAATTGCCCATACTCTCTGACTCTTCATTTCCAAAGTGGATAAAAGGGGCGGCTGGTAATATGTCTACTAAGAGGTAAGTCTTGTTTTGGTTATTTGTTGGTCAGTATGGTATAATCGAAACAAAGCTTGTCTCAATGGCCACCGTAACGGTAACGGTAATGTTATAACGGACGCGGGGTAAAATCGGCATTACGTATCGGTAACGAAAACCGAAAGCGTGATTTTTTTTTTCAACTCACAACCTACCATAAAATATGAATATTACATGTTTCAACTTAAAATCATGCAAATATGGGTGTTTAATGCATTTTATCGTATCATAAATATGATAATAAAATATCATAAGTATTAACAATATTTCTTAAGTCACTATGCGTAAGTGACCTTTCCATTAGCAACAATTGAACAAATAAAATACACAATTACAAATCTAACAATTTATTAAATGAAACATATTGATAGAACCAAAATGACTTTTAGAATTGTACAATACAATAAAAAAGAAAAAGCAATAGCATTATCTTTCAACAATCTCACCACCAAAAAGAACAACGCAGAGGATCCAAATATTGAGATTGAGATTGATGTTGGTTACTTCCACTATCATCATTCCATCCCGTGGGCAACATATAAGTAAATGTTCCAAATTCAACTCCATCTTCTCGTAGTTGCTCTCCATATGTATGCAATGTCAAGTAATTGTTAGGGTTCAAAAGTCCTAAAGAATTATATTGGGGATGTAACGGTGGAGGGTAGTGTTGAGGAGAATAACTATAAGGGTAGGTCTAGAATTTCCAGCTAGATAGTCTAATGATTGGTAGTTTTCATTACCATTACCATATGATGAATCACTAAGGGTGAGATCACTTAAACTCTGCATAACACTAGACGAGAAATCTTCATATTCATACCAATTTTTTGTATATTTGCTTGATTTTTTTTTCACGCTGTGATTCTTGACCATAAACTTCTGGATCAACTCTAGCCACACTAAGTCCATGATTTCCGCGAAACGGTGAATCATGATAATGACTATTAGAATCACCTTGAGCTGGAATGTTACCCTCACAATTATAA